CAGCGGGCTCGTTGAATTTACGGGAATGCGCGGCGAGTAGCGACGTTCGCGCTCGTCTTTTTCACTTTCGCAGAGTCTCTCCGCGCGCAGTTCCAGAAAAGAGAAAAATAGGAAAAGTGGGAGGCGAGAGGAGCGGCTCGCTCGCGTAAATTAAAGATTCGAACGGATCCGAGGCAGAATTACGAATGACGGACATCTGTCACTGGATTTCATTAAAATCCTTTCCTCGTCCCGCGACATCCTCGGGCTGGTCCTCGGCCTGTGGCTGGCTGGAGATGGCTGCTTGCCCGGCTGGATTCGTGCACCCGTGACTCATTCATTATTCATTCGTCCAATTCATCACGGCGCGGCATCGTGGTACGGGCCGCGCACCAGAGCGGCGCGCCAGCAGCGGGCCAATTTCGATTTACACTCGAGCAGACCGCTCGCGTTCTTTCGATTTTCGCGTGGTTCGCGAATCAAGGGGCGAGTAGCCACCGCCGCTGCCGACGTTCGAGGCGGGACGAGGCGTGGGAAACCGATTCTACTCGGCAAGATCGAGCCCCGTATACGTCGTAACGCGCATCGACGCGTTCCAAAGGATACGTATACGTAGGAGAACGAACGGAGAGAAGGCGAATGGTCTCGGTTCGTTTCTCGATACATAGTGGGGGTGGCGGTGGTGGTGATGGCAGTGGCGGGTGGAGCGTCTTCCTTCCCCGAGAGCCTCGTAAAATGGAAATCAATTACATCTACACTTAACCACTTAAACTGGTTTCGCCACGGTCCTAAAGGCCGTTTACTCGTTGCGTGGGGATGAGCAGCGCGTATGGTCGGTACACCCAGGGAACGCGTCTGTGGCCGTCGTCGAGTGGAGGCGAACCAGGGTTCGTTTTCGCCTCGGTGCAACAAGGATCGGGATAAACGGCTCTCTCACGTAGAGAGAGCAGCCGGTGAACACCGCTAGAGGCTTCGTCTCTCTCCTCCTCCGCCCCCTCCGCCGAGCGTTCGCCGTTCTCCTCCGCCACCTCGTGCGCTCTGCACCGCTGTGCTCCGCCGTGCTCTGCTGTGCTCTGCTGTGTTCTGCTGTGCTGTGCTCCATCTTCTCCTCTACTTCTTCTTTTCGCTTCTCTTCTTCTGTTCGTCGGTTTGCGGCGAGCCGCAGATCATTCGTATCAACATAATTACAAGCTCGGGAGCCGCCTCTCTGTTTCTCTCACCTCGCTCCACCCATCACGACGTAACACACGATCGCTTTCGCGCTCCGGTGAAACCTTCCTCCTC